ACCTCCTTCTAGAAATATCCTGTTCCTTCGTGAATGCCCTAGCATTTACTAGATTGGGGTAGTCTGGTATATATAAGATGATCACAAGGTGACAGGAACAGTGTAGTATTGAGTAATTGAACTGCAGTCAGAGAAAATATTGTTGGCCACGTGAGATATAGCGTTTGTTATAGCGCGACTGTTGAAATTACGTGTATCGTAAAGTTGTATTCGGAAAGAATAAACCAGTTTTATTTAAGAAAGGACTTGCGTCGCTAAAGTTTCGTCGAAACGAATTTACGGAAAATTAACTAACGACTGGAGGCGTAACACCTCTATTCCTTGATAAGTTTCCTACCTTTATCTCTACTGGTGGGATGCTACTCCACGTCCTGTTTCTTTAACGTTTTCTAATATTTTTTATTCTATTTTTGAAGCCTCTTTTCCCCTCATTCGCCCCTCTAGAGCCTCAGATTGTAGGGACGTTCCTTCTCCTTACCGCACACTCCAGTGGCTCAGTGGTAAGTCTTAGGGCTTATAACGCTAAAATCAGGTTTCAATACCACCCACTCTGGGTAGAGCATAAACATCTCATTGTATAGCTTTGTACTTAACAAAAAATCCTCGTTCTAGGGTTCTTATAACATTACTGTTATACTTAGTCTTACAGAACTTCTTAGAAATAGAACTATTTTGCAACATCATCTTGCTTATTTATCAACATTTTAAGACTACTTTAGAATTTATACTCTGATATATGGACACACCGCTTGTATACAGAGTTTCAACGTACTTTTGTTTTATCGTCTCTCAAATCACTCTGCTAGTTTTGTTGCTGAACTTTTGAGTATTCTATTAACGTTATCTTAGTTATTTATTACTCCTATTTCATTATCTATTTAGACTTAAAACAGCCTTGTTATTTTAAATTCTCACGAAAGATGTTATCTATCTGGTTTGTTATAGGAATGTAGAGTTCCGTATAACTGTTTTACGTATTCTAATGGAAGAATTATGCCTGGATATCTAGTCATGTAGAGACAAATGAACGGTCTAACAAGCTGCAGAGGCTGCACTATCTCTTTATAGTCCATCAACAGTCTTTCTATTAAGGCCCTCCAATGGCACAGTCTGCGGACTTACAACGCTAGAATCCGAGTTTCGATACCGTGGCGGGCAGAGCACATGTAGCCCATTGTGTAGCTTTGTGCTTAACTTCAAACAAATCAAATGAAAATCTTTCTATTAAGTAGTTCCTACTGCTCACATCCGCGGTATAAAAAATATATCTTCTTGGTAAAAAAAAATTGGTTGATATCACAGGTAGGAAAACATTACCCAAAGTTATACTGTGCTGAAGAACAGACATCAAGATGTAGTTGTTACATGTTTAAAAACTGGGTACTTATCGTATTAACTATACTCAACACAAAATGGGTCTGGGAACTTTACTATATTGTTGTTTCTGCAGGACTTCTCCGAAAACTATGCAACATTCGGGTCCTGCTTATGCTAAAGAACGTCAATGTCTCAAAGAATCGATAACTCAGATTCGCTAATATTTTTCGTTTGACCTCTTTAATGGGGGGGGATATACGTTAAAATCTTGTTCCTAGTATTACTGATGTTGTTTTTAGTTTCCTAAATTTTACTATTTGTTAATACTCAGTCTTCAGTGTAGATCCTGGCACACATATATCTTCTTCGTCTAAAAAGTAGTTGCTAACTTGGTTATACGTGTCTCTTGTTGTACATAATTCAGCTAACGTTTGAAAACACCCGAAACAAAGAAGAAAATGACGCGCCATGGTTCATTTTATTGACGTTTAATTAAACGTGAATATGGAATAATCAAATATGATATTTATTAAGCTAGTATTTTTTATAAGAACTTCCAGAAATGATTAAATATTTTATTGAGTATTAAGGATCAGATTTATTTCATTTAGTTTGTAGATTTATGAGACAGTACTGGAAGTTCATCATTAAACACGAACAGATTGCGTTTCATCTAAAACACGGGGGTACAGGAGGTACATCCCTTTACCAGATGCAACATGGACCTTTTGAAACAAATAAGTATTGTTTCCACCCCTTCTGTTGAGAAATTAATCACTGGAAATTTTCAAATTGAGCGCTTGATGACGTAACAGCGTAATACAATATTATTTTCCTTTTCCCCAATTAGAAACAAAATAAACAGGCATAGGTTTGGTAATCACGTTTATTTTACACTACAAAGTATCTTATAAGTCTACAATCAAACAGCATATAATTTTGCGTTAAGATCACACAGTGACGCAAGCAAAGTAGCCTCGTACTAACAGATTTTCTACGCAAAGTCACGAGTAAAGTAGCACCCGGGAGCGTGAATGCCTGGATCAACAGGGCACCAAAGAAAGGTTTATTTTGTTGCGTTTCTGAGTGTACGTTCAGTTAGAGACTTGCTTGTGCGTGTGGTTTGACGTTGTTCTTATAACTGTGAGATATACTACAGCATGACGCAAGGTAAGAGTCGTTTTCAGTTTTAAAAGAAATTTTTACAAGACCATAAGTACATTTACGTAAAAGTGAAGATTAATATATGGTTATATTTAATAATAAAGAGAGTGGTTTATTTGTCATGACTTTGAGAGACTGAAGTGTATGGTGACTAGCAAAAAACTTGTATTTTTACTTTAATATTTTATATAGTAGTAGTAGTTAAATTAATCGTGGGATATTATATTTACCTATGAAATAATATGGGACATAACCGAAGCATTACAGAAGATAGTGAATGATATAGTGATTGGTTGAACTTGAATCGGAAAGTAAATATAGGTATTGTTTTTGTTTTTTCCCTTGATACTAATGTCTAGTAATGGGACCTTATTATTTTGAAGATTTGAATTACGATTTTTTAAAATAGCTCTTCAAATTCCAAATGAGAACACCAAAATGTACCAACAAAATATTAACAGTAATAAAATGCCTGTTTAATTCTTAATAGTTGAACTCTGAGTGTATGTAAGAATTTTGAGTCTAGGCAAATTTTGGTTATTCTTGCCTGTTAGGTAACAACAACCCATAACTTGCATTAGTTATAAACTCGGCAATAAACTACAGTGATATATTAACACACCCATAAAAAGTTCGGCGACAACGTGACTAAAATTCAAATTTCATTTTTCAGATTAGATTACTTATGTTTTGCCCAGTACTTCTCTAATTTTACACTTCCACCAATTAGTGACTTTGATATTACTGACACCGTTTCATTGTCAATGAAACTATCTTCCCATCATTCTAATATGAGTTGTGTATTTTTGCAAATCGGCATTGATGCTTTGAAACTGTTTAATAAAAATAAATATGACGTTGATGCACTGGTGTATTACTAAGGTCTTTCGGAAACAAACCCCAATGTTTTATGTAAATAATTGTATGAGTATGTCACCTTGGAACAATATGCAACAGGTGCTGAAGTGTATAGAAGCATGATGTTTGTACTGTTGTAGTTGCACCGTGCAGAAGAGAAACATAAATAGCAGTATAATACAGTGGGAGTTCACAGAATGCAAGTTTTTAGTTTGAATAATGAAATTTGCTTGGAATAAAGAATTGCAATTGATTGGGGGCACATTTAGGTTGCTTATTTTATACATTATTAGTCTTAATTATCATTAACAGAAGTTCAACTGACGTATGTAGACGGCATGGACAAAGTAATAGTGTAATTTCGCAAGGGATTTTACAGTTGTATCCTTGCGAAATTATTTCGGCAGAAATGTGCAGGAAAGTATGAACGTTGCTGCGTTTTCTTTTAATGTTTAAGAGTAGAGTTTATGTAAGTATAGAATAAAACTTGCAAGCAATGCTGGAAAATTGATAGCTTATTATGAGTTTTGTTTTGCAAGAATTCACCTTAAGGTTTAATATCCTCCATTTTCTTAAAATCGACTAAATTGAATGTAGGTATTAGGCTCTCACATGTATTCTATTTGGAATGAGTTACAGGCGAAAAACTCGAGAAGCAACTGTAGTTTTAAAGAAAATCGTATTTTTTTTATCCCCCTATATTAAAAAAAAAACAAAACATGCCGCATACTTCAGGAGGATGAAGATGCTCCCGATTCCAAACTGGAAAAACCATACTGTACCCAGTTTTCACATTATGAATACATACAGTAGAACATAACTTCACACAGATAAACATGCCCCCTAGACTACACACAGGAAGAACTTCCTGTCCCATAGATTAAAAAGCAGGAAGCTCATAGGAGTATACTAAGTAACATCAAAAATCATGAGAAAACTCGAGGGGTATCTTCATCTGTAGCTCTTACCAAGAATTGAAGGTAGATGCAAATAAGAACGTTAATTGTTACAAGTTGATTTGTCACAAGAAATAAGTCGCCACGAATTCCTTACTTCCCTCCCCCCTCTTCTTCCAGACGCACGCCTCGACAAAACGGTTATCAAACTGGTTATTCGTTATGGCAACTGTTTCCTAATTATTTAGAAACTCAGAACATCGTTAATTTATGTATATTATTGTGAAGCGGCAGTACATGCAAAGTCGGATTTCAGGTAATGGGGGGGGGGGGAGAGAATTTTATGTAAAGCGTTCCACATTAGACATGATTAGTACTATCGATCGATATCCGAGTGTATAATAAAGCATAACAGAGAATAACTTGCATTTCAAGTATGGGTATCGGTCCCCTCCCCCCTGAATATGAAGAAAGAGGTTAGCGCTCCTTTGCGACCCCGCAGAACTAAACGGTTGATTTTTATGAAATCATTGCTAGAATGCGTTTTTACTTTGTGCAACCTTAGCGTTTAAAATATGTTATTTAGAGGCGTCGCTCGGCGCTCACACTGGGGGCATGGCATTGGTATTTTAAAATCAGCAAAGACAGCTATGATTGATACTGAAACGCCGATATTTCCGCGCCTATGGGTCCGATCCCCGAATCTTTTAAGCACCTAGCGACGCTCTGTTGTTCTTAATGTATGAAAATTTATCTTGTGCATAGAAACGAAGTAATTTTTTTTTTTTATTATGAATACGAGTGTAACTTTTTCATATTTAAACTCTGGAATAAATCATGCATTTTATCTTTGTATAGAAAATGTTCACTAATTAAATTAGTTATTCTAGAAATAATCGGCAGTAGTAGCGCTGTTATAACTCGTACTTGTTGATGAAAACGTTAATTTGTCGTTACGTCATTAAAGATGTTCCCAACTAACTTTAGGACGAATTTTTTACATAGTAACTAAGCTATTTCGGTGCTCGGGACGAGGCCTAGTACATCAACCGCGTACCCTACTGGGAATTAAAATTGCAATAACTGAAAGTAATATTTCGGGTAAGCATTTATAAGTTATGTAGACATCAGTGGGTAACATCTAATGGATAACATCCCCAAAAACTTCTAGCATTCAGAGATGTATTTTGAGTTCCATCGGTGTAACGGTTGCTTAGTGAAATTTCTTAAATATAATTTCTTTGTGCTAAATTCTGAAGATAATAGAACGAATGTACTCAAGTTTAAGATTTGGAAAGTATAGACTAGGCTCCAGTTGTATTTTTCTGAAACGGAGGTGGTTGACTTAAATTAAAAGCTGCTGTCGGCAGCAGTGAAGGATAGCACTTTACAGAAGATTGAGTGTAATCGATTTCTAGAAAAGTAAAGAGTAGGTGCATTTTTCCTAAGGGTAGGTATGTAAGGGGCGGACTTAGAGGACGAAAAGTTCCCTTAACTTTTGACCACAGATTATAATGAGATTCCTTCAGCTCAAACATTTTATATTCTTAGTGAAATGAATATTGGAGTGATCGTAGGTTTTAATAGTATTATTGGCAGTAATTTTACCTGATTTATTCTCTCTCTCTCTCTCTCTCTCACACACACACACACACACACACACACACACACACACACACACACACACACACACAATTTACAATAAAGTTCTTGGATGTATTGTTTAGGCAGAGTATTCATGATGAAAACTTAGTTGAATGGACGGCAACTGCCTATTGTAGAAACACAAGTGTGGAGGACGACGTTTCGAAAGTTTTTCGTCTTCGTAAAACAGGCAGTTGCCGTCCATTCAACAAAGTTTCATTGTGATAAAGTTTTTTTTTAAATTTACCTTTTGTATAAATAATTATTTAGATAAATAAAACGCATTGCATATTAATTGAACGTTTAGTTTTTGGTGTACATTAATTGAACGTGTAGTCTTTGGTGTACAATTAATTGAACGTGTAGTCTTTGGTGTACAATTAATTGAACGTGTAGTTTTTGGTTTCTTTTTTTTTTTTCAAGCAGAGGAAGAAATTCTTTTATGAAAGTTCTAGACATTGAGGAGGCATAAGAATCTTTATATCGCTAGAAAAATGTGGGAGAGCTGTTGTTTTCATCACTGCTTCAAACGCCTCCGCTCAAAACCCACCTCCACTGTTTTCTTTCTCTTATACTGCAAGCAAAAAATAAATAAATAAAACTAAAATATATGGGACAGGAAAATGTAAGCGTCACGTACGCTTTACAACTGACGATGTTAAGTATTTAATTTTTGTTACAATTTCTTTACGATGAAGAAAGACACGCAGACAATGCACACAGAACTAAAATGATACTCAATTAATGTTTTCCTGCGGCTTATTATGGATAGGTTAAGTAGTAGTGGGCAGATAGTAGGAGGCTAATAAGGACTTCTGTGACAAGTCTTTACTGTTGTTTTAAGAAATGCCACCTGCACGAAATGAAGATTTCGGTTTCGAGTTACGCATATCTTGTCCATCTGTGAACTACGTCTGCCGTGTAAAAACTTTCGTTACTACGACGTGAGAAGTGGATATGTTTAGTAAAGTTTCAGCTTATTTACAGGGCAAGTTTTAGTACTGATATTCAGAGTTGTATGTTTGGTCCGGATTGGTTGAGAAGGTTGTTGTTTTTTTGTTTCGACGTTGTCTTGTAGGTCAGGTGTAATACGTCAAACTTGTGATCGATTGCAGTTAACTTGGGCAATTTTCCAATTGAATTCGTGTTTTTTTTGTTGTTGTTCTTTTGTTACTCGAAAGCTTGTTTAATATCAAATTAAAAGTTTAAATGTGTCAAATATTAGACTTCGCGATTCTTTGCTGCGATAATACCATGTCAAGAATGGTTGAAATTGGCATCTTTTGGACTCGTACTGCTTTTAGATCTTTAAACGTTACTGATAGAAATACATTGCTACTATACAAACAGCGTCTCCTTACGACTTTATTATTTAATAAATTTAATAATGATTAAAGCTCAAAACCTCACAATCGTATCGATTTTGCGATGTTAACTCCAAGGTACCGAAGAGATGATGAAGTTATTATCCTAAGTTTAGAAAACGATAGAGTACAAAACTCCTCTGTCTAATATCATCACGAGTTTTTATTACGTAACCATTTTTTTTAAGAGACGTAAGCCTCGTTCGTTGTTGCTAGTGAGAATGCTAACGTACAACATTAGTTT